TGATTTTCATTATTTTTACAAGAAGAACATTAATTCGAAGCATGTGTTTTTTTGTTTAACCCCATATTAACTGTATTTGTTCATTGTTAATTTTTTGGCTTATGCAACTTCGTAAATTTCCGAGTATTTTCACTAAAAGGTTCACAGAATGAAGCATAGTAATAGTTTCTTTCCCTGTCTTGGAAGGTGTCACTAAAGCAAATTCTACTACCTCCCCCCTGGGCGGTGCCACTGACTGAAGTGTCTTTAGGCCATTCCCAAAGGGGGGACATTTCTCATTCTAGTGCACAGTAGAATTGTAAATGGGCTGATCTAACAATGTCATGCTCATGACTGTGCCTGAACTACAACAGGGAACTGCTTTTTCTTTCCTAATCCTTACTATCGTCATTTTCCTCTACTTCTTTTGTATGTTTGGCACACTCTTGTGAGCCGTTATTTCCGGGGTGCCTTGATAGTCGAAGCAGACTTTGTGCTGCTGAAGCTAAAGAGGTGAGCAGAATAAGTCTGATTCCACGTAAGGACTTCTCTGTTGACATCCACCCCTTGGTGCTCATATGACTTTATGCAGTGGTCACTTACTGCTGGAAAAAAGTAAGACTGACTGAAACAACAGAGGGAAAGTAAAGAAGTAGGACATACCAGAGGCGCCTTCCAACCACCCGCTAAATAAGTTGATGGGGGCGTAAAACATACAATCAATTTGCAGCCTATCTCCCAAATAGTCTAAATTATGTGGTTGGGGGGGGGGGGGAACATTTGCAATTAATCATCGAATGGGTCCTTATAATACTGCACTGCACGTGCCATTCAGATCATTACATGATTGACCAAATTGATGTCAATGCAATGTTTTTGGCCACGCCTGAAGAAAATGTTATTTCAATTCCCATTTTTGGGTAATTATTTTCTCTAGCATCTACGTCTTTCTGGTAGGGTGAATCCAATTCATTTTGGGTTGGCTGTGAAATGAAGAAATGAAGCAGCTTTCCTCCTTTTTTGATTAATTTTAATTTGTCTTAGTGGGGTCATCAAATATTCACCATCTCTCACTGCACTCAAATTTTTGTGAGGTACTTAAATCTAGGCCAGTAGGAACTTCTAGATTATTTTCTTGCCGTGTGAGGTTGTGATTCTCATGACATGTTGCATCATATTTTTCTTTTCTTTTATGTTATGTAGAGGTTGACGGGTACTCTAGCGTGGTTTGCTCCTTCTTTCCTGTCAAACTATCATCCTTATCTCTCCTCCTTTTTGTGTTTGTAAATCTCTTCTAAGTTATTCTAACACGTTAATCATTGGTACTTATAATAATATGACCTAATTGTGTTGCAAGTGCCGTAAAACGCTTACTAAAACAACTTTTATGTTGGGGTTGTGGTAACTGCTTTGTCATGTTTCCTTTTGTTTGGAAATTTGCTTTGTATCGGGGCTTGTTGTGCCAGTAGCTTTCGTCTGTGATTTTTTTTCTTCTAATTTTAGTTGAGGTTTTCCTTGCTCTGTCATGCATAAACAGAATAACTTTCAAGAGGGTTTCAGATTTCTGAGATTCAGATTTTTAAAAAAATAGATGACAACAAACATGCATTTTTGACTTGGAGTTGTTTTGGGGAGTTTTTAAAAGTTTATAATCACGGTACTCTTCTACATGTGGTTAAGACACCTGTTATTAATTATTTTTCATTTGTGACTATGTTTGTAACAGCTGACTTATATTTCTAATCCACATAACACTTTGAAGTGAAGAAATTATGTGAGGAACGTGTTTTGTTCTTTGCTGTTTAGTAGTCTCAAGTGAGGCTTGGCGTTGTTTTAGTATTGTATTTTCAATAATATGCATGTTTTTGTCAAGTCTGTTCTATGAAGTGAACAAGTCTATTTCTATAAGTTAAAATGCTTCAGACGAGTTATGTATCTCCTCTGATGGGAGGCATGCATGACTTCATCATAGATCTTTAAGCTGACCTGTTATTTTTATTGGGTGGTTTGCGGATGCTCTGGTGTGATTTGCTCCTTCTTTCCTGTCAATCAACTGTCATCCATTTTTTTCGTCCCTCCTTTTCTTTTTTATATGACCTATTTGTTTTGTAAGTGCAGCAAAACTCTCACTAAAATTACAAAAAAACCTGTTCTTTTAAATTTGACTTATCATTCCCGTGGGGGCTATTAATTGTTGTCAACTGGTAGGAGCATATTGTTATTATTCAAATGGTCCATTTCTGCAGATTTTTCTTTCTCAGGTGGATGAACTGAACAAAAGGTGTCAGACGATAAAACCACAAACTGAACTGCCATTTATTAACATTGCTAGCTCGAAGCCTTACCCTCTCAACTATTTTAATAATGTGTAAAATTGCATGTTATTCTATTGCTTCATGGTGTGGTTTACTTCTTCTTTCCTATCAAACATCTATTGTCCTTTCCTCTTCTTCTTTTCTTTGTTGGTGTCTCTCTCGTAATTGTTAGCACTTTTACTATCTATTTTTATTTTTTAAGTTAGAGTTTTACGGTGATTGTAACATAAAACTTGTGCTGCAAGTGCCGTAAAACTCTACTAAAAGAACCCTCCGAAAACTCCATAGTTTGAATTATTATCTCCGTGTCTATCAAGTCACTCATCTTATCATTCAACGCATAAGGTTATGATTTAGACTGCATTGAGCGATACAAATTGAAAAGGTTTTGCTATCACCTGATCTGTGTTATGTAAAACTATGTTTTTTATGTTGTTTGTACAAACGTGATAATTGATAATTGTGAACGTCGTCACAGGTGCAATGAAGTACATGTTTGATGGGTATTTGTGTTAATATTCTTGAAAAGATGGAAATACAAAATATTGCAGAACAGTATTATTATGTGTTTTTAAAAAAACTGTTTGTGGATTGCTTTAATTGTGTTCTTCCCTGTTGTAGGCTCTCTTGATCTCTCCACTGATCTGCCCTTCTCCCTGTCTGTCTGTCTATCTGTCTGTCAGTCTGTCTGTCTGTCTGTCTGTTTCTGTTTGTCTGTCTGTCAGTCTGTCCGTCCATCCTCCCATCCGTCCGTCCATTTGTCTGTCTGTCTGTCTGTCTGTCTGTCTGTCTGTCTGTCTGTCTGTCTGTCTGTCTGTCTGTCTGTCTGTCTGTCACCTCCTCCTCCTCGTCCTCCTCCTCCTCCCCCTCCTCCTCCTCTTTTTTTTCTTCTTCTTCTTCTTCTTCTTCTTCTTCTTCTTCTTCTTCTTCTTCTTCTTCTCTCTCTCTCTCTCTCTCTCTTCTCTCTCTCTCTCTCTCTCTCTCTCTCTCTCTCTCTCTCTCTCTCTCTCTCTCTCTCTCTCTCTCTCTCTCTGTCTCTCTCTGTCTCTGTCTCTGTCTCTGTCTCTGTCTCTGTCTCTCTCTCTCTGTCTCTCTCTCTCTCTCTCTCTCTCTCTCTCTCTCTCTCTCTCTCTCTCTCTCTCTCTGTGTCTCTCCCCCCCTCTCTCTCTCTGGTTCTTCTGTGCTGTTCCCTTCGTTGTCCTCCCATTTAATTAACCGATCATTAGGCCTACGCCTGTCTGCCTGTTTGTTCGTATATGGCCTTGGATTGTTGTACTAGTTCTTTAGGCCTACTTTGGCGGGATATACCCAGCTTATCTGTATTTTCCCCCATTGTGTTATTCATAACGCTGGCTGATTTTCTCTTATCAAGATGGTTGATGAAAATCTTGATATAAAAATATACGTGCTTATTAATATAAAAATGATATGACAAATTCTGATATAAAAATATACGCTCTTATTATCACGCGCACACACACACACACACACACACACACACACACACACACACACACACACACATACACATATTTTTTTATCTAGTTTAGTTTTAGTAGATGTTTTACGGCGCTCGCAACTGCATAAGGTCATATGAGCGCCAAGGGGTGGATGTCAACAGAGAAGTACTTGCAGGGAATCAGGCTTACTCTGCTCATCTCTCTAGCTTCAACAGCACCAAGTCTTCTTGGACTATCAAGGCGATAGTAAGGATTAGGAAAGAGAAAACAGCAGTTCCCTTTTGCAGTTGAGGCAGTTATGAGCATGTCATTGATGAATCAGCCCATTTACAATTACAATTCTACTGTGCATAAGAACATGGTTAATGTCCCCCCTTTGGAAATGGCCTAAAGACACTGCTTTTTCTTTCCCAATCCTTACTATCGTCATTTTTCCTCTACTTCTTTTGTATGTTTGTCACACTCTTGTGACCCGCTATTTCCGGGGTGCCTTGATAATCGAAGAGAGGTGATCAGAGTAGGCCTGATTCCCTGTAAGGACTTCTCTGTTGACACCCATCCCTTGGCGCGCATATGACCTTATGCAGTTGCGAGCTCCGTGAAACCTCTACTAAAACTAAAACAAAACACGTACAACAGAGCAATTACATGGCAATTTACAGATAGAAACGACGCAAAACGTAATGTTAGCTTACAGTATTTCCCCTGTTTATTCTCGTCAAACTGACTAACTGATAACGTGCATTGCTCTCCGTCCTTGGCGGTTGAACAAGGGCTGAAGATAAAATAGATCTGTTCATACCGATGGTTAACCCTTTAAGGATGCGGCGAACACAATAGTTAATCATATCCAACAGCAGACCAGAGACCATGTTGTGGCACATTTAATTTGCGACAAATACCATGTTGTTGTGGCACATTTAATTTTCGCCCAAATACCATGTTGTGGCACATTTAATTTTTGCCTAAATACCATGTTGTGGCACGTTTAATTTTCGCCCAAATACCGTGTTTTTGTAGCACATTTAATTTTCGCAAGATACCATGTTGTTGTGGCACATTTGGAAAGGCCATAAGTGGCACATTTAATTTTCCAAAGACGAAGTTGAGGCTGTGTTCCGAAGTTAAAGCTCTGCTACCGAAATCACAAACACGAATACAGAGTAGAATTGTTAATGGGCTGATCTAACATTGTCATGCTCATACTTGTGCCTGAACTACAACAGAGGAACTTCTGTTTTTTTCTTTCCTAATCCTTCATCATCATCATCATCATCATCATCATCATCATCATCATCATCATCATCATCCAGTGCCAGATATGCGACAGACATCGGCGTTCATGGTTTTCAATTCATTCCTTTGTTCGGATGCTCTCAAAAAAGCTACGTTTCCCTGATCTTTCCCTGTTACCCATTTGTTTAGGTTCCCTAAGTATGTTGTTCTGGGCCTACCCCTGCCTCGCTTGCCCTCAATTTTGCCAGTGAGAGCTAGATCTAGATGTTCAAGACCCTTATATCTATTCATGTGTCCCCAAAACTGCATTTGTCGTTTCCTGATTGTTTTTAACATTGAGCGTCCCACGTGGGCTTCATCAAGCACTACCTCATTTGATTTCTTTTCCTCCCACGATACTCTTAGCAGTCTCCTAAGAAACCACATATCTGTTGCTTCTATTTTATTTTCACTGTCTTTATTGATTGTCCAGCATTCACAGCCATATATAGAAGCGTTGACCAAACATAGCATTTCAGGACTTTCATTTTGGTGTTCATTGAGATGTTTCTATTTTTCAGGATTGGGCTCATTTTTATTGAAACTAGCCTTAGCCATTGTAGTTCTCCTTTTTATTTCTGTGGAAGATTTGGCATCAGATGTTATCATATATCCTAGATATTTAAACTGTTGGACTTGTTTGATCTTTTCACCTTTGCTAATGAGATTACAACTAGGGTTTGCTGCTTTTTTGGATATTACCATGCATTCTGTTTTCTTTACATTCAACAATAATCCTTTACGTTCACTTTCTGTTACAACAGTATCTAGAAGCAATTGAAGGTCCTTTTCGGAGCCTGTTATTAAAACGGTGTCATCTGCATACCTGCTGTTATTAATATTTTCTCCTTTTACTTTGAGGCCTGGACATTCTTCCATGTTTCTAAGGATTGTTTCACTGTACATGTTAAAGAGGTCTGGTGACATAACACATCCTTGCCTCACTCCTCGCCTGATCTGCTTATATTCACTGTATTCTCCATTAATTCGTACAGCAGCGTTTTGGTCCTAATCCTTACTATCTTCATTTTCCTCTACTTCTTTTGTATATTTGGCACACTCTTGTGACCCGCTATTTCCAGGGTGCCTTGATACTCGAAGCAGACATTGTACTGTTGAAGCTAGAGAGGTGAGCAGAGTAAGTCTGAGTCCCTCTAAGTTGTAAGGACTTCTCTGTTGACACCCACCCCTTGGCGCTCATATGACCTTATTCAGTTGCGAGCGCCATAAAACCTCTACTAAAACTAAACAAACACGAATTTGCATATTTCATAGTCAGAGTGTTGTAGTTTGCCTTTTAAAGTTTTAGGGAAAAACAAATTAAATTGGTAAATCTGTATAAATAACCAAGTAATGCCTCTTTTCTTCAAAGCGCCCCCCCAAAAAAACAAACAAACAACAACAACAACCCCCCCCCCCAGCCCGTGTTCAAACGCCCAAAGACCAGAAAGCGCGTCTAGAATGAGTTAATGTTGACTTTGAGCTGTATCAGCAACAGCAAGCTTGTCCGGTCGTCACCATCTTGTGACTGGATTCCGCACTAGCCCTGATGACATTGCTGCAACTGAGGAAAGTTCATGTTTCTATTCTTGTCTGATCTCAACCTATTTAAACACCTCTTCTCCAGCGAAGTTTACTTTGCACACAGCAGACCGAACCGTAACGTATACGAGTACATTGACGGGAAGAGCTTGTTTTTTTCCCCACTTAGATAACGACAAGAAATGAGTGATTACATAACACTACTCAGTGTTTATTTTTCGTAATTCGCCACAAGAGAGCCCCGACTTCAGTAAATCACACACATCGGGGGGAAACAGAAGACCATTGTTATAAGGCTCCGTGTGTATTGAACTTGAAAATCATCATCGTTAACATCGTCGTCAGGGTAAGCTCAACTGTCGCTTTTTCAGGTAAATAATTCAGAGGCATACGTCTACTCTAACGAGGTTACGCAAAGACGACAAGGGGCAGGAGTAAACCATGGGTAAAATTGACGAATTCAGCTTCATCACGCCTGGACAGAGGAAAGTCTACCGACCCGGAGACATTGTCAAAGGTATGTGTCATTATTTTGTACTACTAGCACATCAGCTCTTCATTTCTATGTCGGTCGGAGGTGATTTAGGGGAACGGAAGGGGGAAGGGGGGGGGGGGGTCCTTTCGATTAATTAAGACTAGTCTATAGTCTACAACCACAAGCTAAAAATGAACAATCTGACGGGACAAATTTTATAATCTTTGAGAAATCTGTATCTCTGTGAGGGGATGAGTCTTTTAAGTTTAAAACACGATTGTGTGTGTGTGTGTGTGCGTGTGTGTGTGTGTGTGTGTGTGTGTGTGTGTGTTCATGTAGATATACACACATATACAAATACAAATACAAACACACACATATTATTTATTTTTAAAAAATACATACATACGCGAGCATTTGCCAAAAGGTGGGATACCAGGGTGTGACAAATGAGGTCCAAAATCAACTTTATGTAATAATTCTTTAATCACCGATATTATATAGCCTAATGATTGCTCTTTCAGGCTCAGTAACTGCCAAAGCTGTATATGCAATGGTCTTGGTGTAATTCTGACTTGAATGACGGAAATAGCAAAAAGTTCGTTCATAACAATGATGACACAAATTTATGAATACTCAAAGTTCATTTCTTCAGCTAGGCTGATGTTATATTTTGAGACATAGCAAATAACTTCCAAAAATACATAGAATTGACAATTTATAAAAATCTTTATTAATTTTTGATAAAATTACTTTTTTGTGTCATAATAGTTATGAACGAACAATAAGTGACCAAAATACTATCGATTATATCAAATTTCATCGACTAGAATTGTCTAAAATAACACTCTGGTCTAATTATAGTCAAGTGATAAATGGAAGACCATTGAACAGCTATTTTTAAGCGCAAACTGGTCTTAAGGCATATTATGCATAAATTTAAAGTTCGTTCATAACCATTATGACACACTGTTTCGTTCATAACTATTATGACAAATTTTACTTTTGGCCCCTAAAATGTACTTATATTGTTCTGTCTTTCACATAAAACGGTTTTCATTTATGAGGCTTTCCTTAAAATATGATAGATTCCTCTATGTAGGGAGAATTCAAAGTTTATTTCCTGAAAAACCCTTAGAATACCTTTAAAATGGTTCGTTCATAACAATTATGACAAACTTCAATTTTGACCTAAAAATTTACTCATTTTGAGCTGTCCTTCATTTTTTAAAACTTTTATTAAATGAGACTCTCCTCATAATATGTATCTCTGTACATGTTTTTAAAGTTTGTTAACACTGAAAAGCCCTAAAAATATATAAAGTGGACTATAAATAGTTCGTTCATAACCATTACTACAAAAGTATAATACTAATTAAAATCCACACCCATACACTTATGATAAAAATCAAAATATCAGAATGTATGTAAGGTCTATTCTGTCCTTTAGTTGGGTTAAAATTAAAAATACATCCCAAAACAACTGTAAATTACATGGAATAATGTTTCGTTCATAACCGTTATGACACACTGTTTCGTTCATAACTATTATGACAAATTTTACTTTGGGCCCAAAAAATTAACTTATTGTTCTGTCATTCACATAAAATTGTTTTAATTTATGAGACTCTCCTCAAAATAAGGTTATATGTGGGAAGAATTCAAAGTTTAATCACTGAAAAACTCTTAGAATACCTTTAATTGTTCGTTCATAACTATTATGACAAACTTCAGTTTTGACCTAAAAATTAATATTTTGACCTGTCATTTACTTAAAATTTTTATATTAAATGAAAGTTTCCTCATAATATATGTACCTGTGTACATGTTTTTAATGTTTATCAACTCTGGAAAGCCCTCAGAGTACAATATGTAGTTCGTTCATAACCATTACTACAAAAGTAAAATACTAATTAAAATCCAGACCCATACACTTATGATAAAAATCAAAATATCAGAATGTAAGCAAGGTCTAATACATCCTCAAGTTGGGTTAAAATTAAAAATATATCCCAAAACAACTGTAAATTACATGGAATAAGGTTTCGTTCATAACCATTATGACACACTGTCACGTTCATAACATGATGACAATCCATTATGACAAGCATATTTTTGCCTCTTCTTCGCTTCTCTTTTGAGTCATCAGCACGATACTCTTCCATGTTCATTCCACCATGTAAAAGGATGCTGTGAAACAGTGGGAAGTCCCTCACATGATATTTTGCAGAAATATCATAAAGTGTTTGTTCATAACATCATTATGACAAACCTGGATTATCTCAATCAAAGTCATATTTAAGCAAAACCATGCGATGGAGCGGAAAATTACCCTTCTGATGGATCAATGTCAAACCAATGTTTAATACCGGTCATTCCCCGGGATGATATGTTTAACGATTTGGGTTTTCTAGACCTTGGAAAGTCTGATGATGTAATTATGACACGAGTTATGAACGAACTTATAAATTTTACTCAGCAATAACATCATTAATATAAAAAAATAAAACCCTTTTAATGGACACACGCTGTTATGATGGTGTATACAAACTATTTTCAATGTTTGAATGCACTTCTGTTTGATAGTTTAAGATTAACAATATTCTGTATTTAACATACAATTACGTGTGCACTCAGGATGAGTAAAAAATGCCCTATTTTTAGTACTATTATCTAGTAGAGATATAAGTTGCACACATCAATCTACTTGCTCATGCAGCTTGACCAACTTATTTCCTTGCCATATGCATAAAGTTTTCAGAAGAAAACATATTTTACTATGAGTAGTGGTTGATTTAAGTAGTCCTTAAGCAAACACCCCCACCTTTTGGCAAAAGCTCACATATAAAATACAAATTACACACACGCAAACACACACACACACACACACACACACACACACACACACATACATACACACACACACACACACACACACACACACACACACACACACACACACACACACACACACATGTTTGGGCTTCATCAAGAACATGAAAAAAGCCCAACAGCAAACAACAACTGTACTATGGTATCAAAAGCGTTCACTTTTTACATGCTGAATAGTACATATGATAAAAACATCGTCGTCACCATAATCATCATCATCTTCATCATCATCATCATCCAGCAAGAGGGAAATCAGAGACCCACTATGCAGAGCTAAGTACCAGCACCTGGAAGATGTGTACTCTGGGTACTCCAATAAGCAGAAACAAAGTATCATTATGTCGCGGGGACCAGGTTGAGCTAGTAAGACTGCGGTCGGACCATCATTGGAGCTTTAGATGGTATAAGAACTTTGTAAATGAAGAGCTCAGCCCACGTTGCCAAAGATGCGACCATGAAAATTAAGATGTCAAACGTATATGTTGGAATATCCAGGAACAATGGCAATTTGAATGGAGTTATTTGGACGAGTGGAGGTGCCTCTAAGCATATTGACAATGGAGCCGAAAAAGAGCCTCGCTCTCGCTCGAAGATTTCTTCGTGGAGTCCGCCAGGCCCATTAAGGAAAAAAAAATCATCATCATCATCACTTCCTACATATTGCCGTCTTTACGATCCTATGGAATAAATAAAAAACAACAAAAAACAAACAAAAAGAAAAAAACCCAAAACAAAACACACACACACACACAACCCCGCCCCCCCCCCCAAACAAACCAAACAAAACCAAATATAAACATCAACGTATCAATCGTTCTCCAGGTTCCGTGTCGTTCGAAGTACGAAGTGAGGACATCACTGTCAGGGGAGTACATATATACCTTTGTGGAGCAACACTGACCAAATGGAGCCAAGGGAAAACCCAAGTTCAAAGCAAAGAAATCTATTGCAACATATACGACACTCTCTTCGGCAATGATCCCGGCGACGGAGGAAATCACAAACTCACACAAGGTGAGCCAGAGAAGACAGTTTAGTTTAGCTGTATTAAGAGTTTTACGGAACTTGCAACACCAATAGGTTGTCACCGTCTTTTTATGCAAGAAAAATTCTGAAATTATGCAAACTGAGCCCAAAAATGTGAAATTATGCGATTCTGTTAATTTTAACAAAGAAAGATAAAGGAAAATAATCAGAAATTATGTAAAAAATGATCAAATTTTGCTAAATTCTGCGGGGTGCATAAAACCACGGGGACAGAATAGGTCATAGGTGCCGAAGATTAGAGGTGTTTGTTATATTAGAGAGTAACATACATTGATCAACAAAAAAAACTTTACAACATTTTTTTCTGAATATCTCGCGCAAACATTGTTCTAGAATGCTGTAATTTGGAACAGACATAATTCATTCAAAAGAAATTTGGTTTGATATAAAATCCACGAAGAAGAAACATGTTTTGAAAACGGAAACGGCGAAAAGAAAAACGCACCCAAAAACACAAAGTTCACCAATGTTAAAAATCTTGTAAAGGAAGTCGTGAAAAGATTAGTTGACCTTTTTCTTTATTTTATCTTTGACATTAACTTTCCATCCCTATGACATTTAAACAATATTTAATTTCTTTTACAGAGTTTTAAAAACCTAATGATTTCATTCTGAAATTCCTAGAAGCAGTGCTCTACATTCCCTCCCCTGGACTCGACACATTTTTAACGCGCCTTTCGAAATGTTCAGTGGCGCCCTAACACAAGGACCTGCTAAACCATGAGTTTTTAAAGCCACATACACTGTACTTGTTCACTAAGAAGTGGTTTCTAGAGACAATAGAGTGGGGTGCCCAATAGACTACTATTTTGGAGTTAACTTATCCCGCAGGGTGAAAATGGGCTTTGCACTAAACCAAAAGTCATCGAGGAAATGATCCCTCTTTACAAAACAATCGAGGAATCATGAACACATTGCCATGATCTAATCCATGTCATCTCGGCCTAGCGAAGATGAACATGGTATAGTCGTAGGTTAAGATCTGCCATAAGAATGCAGACTGTTGGTGTGTAGGAAAGTCCTAGCTGCTGACCGTTTACGGACAGACGTCTCATGGGACTCGGCTACTGAAATCTGCTCTCTGGCGACGTTTTGCCGTCACATCTCGCCGATCGGCGATGTTTACCGCCCAGTTGCTTTGTATTTTTCCCAAAATGCTTCTGCCTTTGATGGCAAGGGTTTTTACTATACTATATGAGCCTTGTGATGGCAATGTGTTAAAGGGCTGCGCATGGTGCGTGTTCGACCTGAAGCAGTCATTTTTCAAATAACTTTTTAGTTCTGATTAGCTATAGATCCAAACTGACAGAACTTCTCTACTCATGACGCCAAAGGTCTCGAGGGCACCTAAGCATTCTTTCCATGCTGTGTGCAGAACCAACGAAATGTCAGGGATGATGAGTTTGTGGAGAGGTTATGGTCAATACAAAAGCTCTCTGCTCTTTACTAAACGTAGCCATGATCTCAGCAGGCAAACAAAATTTTTGAAAAATAATATCTGCAGACGTCTGTTAACTTGTTAGACTGCTGTAGCTTGCAATATGGTGCGATTGTTGCAACTTTTAGTGGTAGGCCTAAAGCGAACTGGTGCGCCATGCTATGAAAATGGCGACAAGGTTGAAAATGGGTTGTTTTTTTAATGCGCTATATAGAGCAAAACCATTGAATGGACTTATCTAAAATACATATCAGACAAATTCCTTTTGGCTTCCAAACGTTATGTTCAAATCTGAAACGCAAAACTTCAGTATGGAGGAAGATATTTACAAAACAAGTTGTAAAGGTTTTTTTTGGATCACCCTATATATAGAAACGAAGGAGGAGAGATAAGGACTATAGATGTTTTATAACAAAGGAGGAGCAAACAACATACTCCAAAGACCTGCCAACCAAACACACAGAGAGAAATGAAAGCGTGGATAATTTTCAGTTGAAATTAAAACACGCGAAATTGTACGTTTAGCGCTCTTTGCAACACTGCAAGTTTATTTTTAGAAGACGAGGCCTCAGAATTTAACCTCCATCTCCGATAGCACCGAGCGAAATTGGAAAATTCATATGAAGTGCCTTTCACAAGTACTCAACGTCTGATCTGAACTGAGCCTCGAATCGCTGAACCCGCAATTCGCAAATTCACGATTACGAGATGATAGCTTAGTCACTAAACTGCAGAATCCGTTTTAAAGTTTAAGTTGTATGAAATTTCGAATAGTTTCGAATGATGGGTATAAAATTTTTTTTTCAGTTTCTATAACCCTTTCTCGCATTTCCGGAATGTTTTTTTTTTAGCTAGACAAAGCTCATTTGGATTTTCTAACGGTAGAACACTGTGTTGTTTGAACTGAGATACGGTGAAAGGCACCACGACAAATCTTCTTTCACTGCTCTATGCGGGACACATTTTAGTAATAGTAAACTATCCGCCCTCCCCCCCCCCTCCCCCCCCTTCCCCCCTTCCCCCCCTCCCCCCCTTCCCCCCTCTCCCCCATTCGGAACGTACTTTACCGAATACGTATACACGGGTCTCCATTCCTTGTGGGACCTTTTTGGTTGCCAAAACATACATAATGGATACGATAAAGAATAGGGGGGGGGGGGAGGGTTGTTCCAAACGAATGCTTACCCACGTCCCTGTGTTTCTGAACGTAGGCATTTTTTACAGGACATCAAACTGTAGGGCTGCTGGCTTATTTCAGTTCGACCAACCAACCAACCAACCAACCAACCAACCAACCAAACAACCAACCAACCAATCAATCAATCAAATTAAAGCTCTTTCATTTGTCTAGTTTTTGGTGAAGAAATGTCCGTCTATCTTGAATAAACGTTGAAATACCTGCAATTGGAGGGGGAGGCGGTCGCCTGGTATTATAGGTAAAATTAGCGAGAAAATGGCTGCCAAAGTTTGGTGACTTCCAAAGCTTGGGTGTTCTTGGAAACTGCAAATTTACATTTTGTATGTCTTAGATCAACGATTTTTTCTTTGTTTGTTTGTTTGTTTTTGTTTGTTGTTTTTGTAAAATCCACACTGAGATGTATTTTTGGACAGTAAAGGCGTTGAGCCGAGAAAAAAAATCGACTAAAATTGACCTACATGCGGAAAAAAATGTTTCTTTGATTTCATTATTATGACGAGCGTCTCATTTCACCACGACGACACACGTTATCTTCTTTTCAGGCGAACACACATACGACTACTCATTTCGCCTTCCATCGGATGGACTGCCCAGCTCTTTCCAAGGCTCTTATGGCGCCACTCGTTACTGGTTGCGAGCCGTCATCGTCCAGCCGTTCCCAAGGATAAACAAAACCTTCTACAAAAGCTTGACCGTTCTGGCAAACGTGCCCGTCAGGACAGTTGGCAACCTCAGGTCAATCTCGGAGAAATCGGAGAAGACCATCTCTAAAGGTATTGTCAAGTCCGGTGTAGGATTAATAGCCAAGAGACCTGACTACATATTTCATAATTCATTTGAGAGAAAAAACAACCCCAAACAATTAAACACCCCCCCCCTTCCGATCTTTACGTTTATTATGATTGAGATCGGTCATTTTTGTAGCCTTACGAATTTGAAAACTACTGTTTTGGACAAAGGTAAGCTTTACCGTGTCTTTGACACTAGAGAAATTGAGAAAGCCTAGTGTTACAAACCATTGCATTTAATACCCCCCAGCAAAAACCAGCAACATCTAACAATACAAAAACAAAAACGAACAACCGCTCTTGCCAGAGAGGGCATACGTACTCGTAGCTCTGTTTTTGGACAGCAGAGAAGGTCTAACATTCACTCAGTGTATGTTTCTCCTTCTTC